ATCAAGATTTAATATACACGTACAACTTGTAGACAGTGATACAAGCATATTATTTAAGATTGTTTTTGTTTATATCGTATATATTTTTTTAAGTTGTGTTGGCGATAAATAACGAATATTCTGTTTTGCACTTTAATGTCCGAACATCAACAACATGTGCACATAACGAATACACAACGGTTTTTTTTTTTACACCCCGAACCCGAGCCCAAAAACAATGATAATATCAATTAATCTCCAGAACATTCTTCCCTCCTTGATTGTTTGCATACCACCAAAATTACTTGATTTCGTTATGCATGATAGAAAATAATTCACATTAAAATGTCAAATACTGAAATACATTTAAACAGTTCTTTTTACACAACACTTTTTAAAATGGCTCATCTAGTCACTAAATTCCAATGGACACAATTTGGTTATTGGGCGCGTAAATGTCTTTGGTCCAACCTTAACCACTGCAATTCGCACATGCCCATCTTTGCCAGAACGAACGTCCAAAACACGACCTAGTTGCCAATGTCCCCTAGGTACATTAGGTTCAATGACAAGCACAATGTCACCTTTACATATATCTCTGCGAGTTTGAGTCCATTTTTTACGCACATTCAATCCTGGTAACCACTCACGCATCCATCGGTGCCAGAAGTGTCGTACAAGCTCCTGTATTCTTCTCCAACGTTTCCGTGGGTTGAACTCTGTGGTGTCTACAGTTTCTGGTGCAAACTGACCTCCAACCTGCCCATGCAGGAAATGGTTTGGTGTCAATGGAACATCATCGTTAGGGTTTGCTGATTGGAAAATTAAGGGTCTGGAATTGATCAACGCCTCAGCTCCTACAAACGCCGTCATGAGTTCTTCATCTGTAACATCTGCCGATCCGATCACTGCATAGATAGCTCTCTTTGCTGCTTTAATCATTATTTCATGGACACCTCCAAAGTGAGGTGCAAGTGGCGGATTAAAGTGCCACATGACTCCAAGGTTTGCTGTAGACCGTTGAATTTTTCTGTGGTCCAATAAACCAACAAGTTCTTTGAGTTCATTGTTGCCTCCGACAAAATTAGTTCCATTATCAGATATAACTTCTTTTGGTAGGCCTCTTCTGCTCACCATTCGGTAAAATGCGTTAAGGAATGAATCTGTGTCAATACCAAAGGCTATCTCCAGGTGCACTGCCCTTGACATCACACACGTAAAAAGACATAAGTATCTTTTCTCTCGTCGTTTTCCTCGTCCTTGTTCTGTAATAAAAGGTCCTCCGTAATGTACCGCAGTTCGAGAAAATGCATGCAATGGTTGTTTGGTGCGAATTGATGGAAGAGGACCCATCAGTTGCTCTGCTGGTTTGGCCTTGTTGCGACAACATTTATTGCACTGTCGCTCCCATTTCCGAATTTCCTCTCTTGCGGATATTATCCAAAAACGTGACGAAATCATAGATAGAGTATGATTTGTTCCCGTTACATGTTTTCCTTTTTCATGGTAGTACTTGATGATGAGTTGTGACACAATTGATACGAGGAAGAATGATAGGATACCTGACATCGTAAGGTAAGAATTCTGCATATTTCAATCGTCCATCACATCTCAAAAGTCCATTTTCATCAATCACTGGGTTCAAACACAATAACTTGCTATTAAGTTGGAGAGGTTTGTTTTGTTTCAGTAATCTGTATTCACAATGAAACTCGCATTTCTGGGCAGTCCTAATGATTTGAGTTTCTGCCTCTTCATGTTCTTCAGCATTCAATTCCCCTGTAAGTCTGTCCTTGATCTTCAGTCTGCAATTGTGTAGAAAGCGATTGACCCATGCTTGAACTCTAACAAGTCGTATCCAGCTGGAATAAGTTTCCGGGTTTAAACAACACTGAATATCTTTACAGTCAACTGTTTCTGTCAAGAACGAATATGAAAAATTCACAACTTCCTTGTTCGACTTCTTTTTCTCCATATCAGTGTCTTGCATTTCGACTTTCTGTTTTGGCCAATGAGATTCACCCAGATGCAGATAGTGTGGTCCACTCCACCAGGCATTATCTTCTTGAACTGTGAAACAGACACTCCCCTGGAAATCATATCTGCAGGATTTAACTCAGTTGGCACATAAAACCATTGCTTTGGATTTGAAGCCGACTGTATTTCTCCTATGCGATTTGCTACAAATGGCTTGAAACTTCTGCTTCGAGCTTTGATCCAACACAAAACATTCATGCTGTCAGTCCAAAATGAACACTGTTCAATGTCCAATTCTAAGCTTAAGGCACTTGCTACAGATAGAGTCAGTCTGTTTCCCAAAACTGCACCCATCAATTCCAATCTAGGTATGCTTACTGCTGTAAGTGGTGCCACTTTGGATTTTGCTGTGACAAATCTCACAGACACACTTCCATTATCATAGATAATCTTTGATAAATTACAGCACCATATGCATCTTGTGATGCATCAACAAAAGTATGTAGGTAAGTAGATACGACTTCACCATGACACAGACGAAGACATCTCGGTACCGAAATAAGTGATAGCTCTGTTAATTCATTAAACCACTTCTCAGCCTTTGTTACAAGTCCATCACTTAGTGGGTCATCCCAATCAAGACCTGCGGTCCACATTTCTTGCAGTAGAATTTTAGCTCGTATTATATATGGTCCAAGAAAACCCAAAGGATCAAACAGCATTGCAATTTTTCGCAGAAAGTTGCGCTTTGTATAGTCAAAATCACCCTCGGGTGGACTTGCTTTGAAGGTAAAAATGTCATCTTTAGCTTTCCATAACACTCCAAGGGTTTTCACTGATGGTAGGCTGTTATCATGCAGATCCACTTCAGGAACAATACACTCACTGAATTTGACAACCACTTTCTGGCATACATACCAGCTTTTCTCCATAATGCTGACAACTGTGAGTAGAGCTTAATCCCATCTTCCTCATTCGATACAGAATCCATACTGTCATCCATGTATGTGGATTTCAAAACAGTTTCTGCAGCCATGGGATAATTCTCTCTGTTTATCTCAGCATGCGTCTGTGCAACAAGCTGTGCTTGAAATGGTGACGAATTTATCCCAAACACAACACTGCTAAATTCATACACATCTGGTCTCGCATCTAACATCATGTCACGTCACAAAAATTGCTGATAGGGTCTATCTTCCAGTGGAACCTTTATTCGAAGATACATTTCTGCAATGTCACACACTAGCGCCACTCTGATTCTTCTGAATCTAAGTAGTATATTAAAGAGCTCATTCTGAAGTTTAGGGCCACAATGAATCATGTCGTTTAGTGAAACACCACCATGTTTAGCTGATGCATCAAATACGATATCTTTGTTGTGGTCTTGTCTGGTCGAATGACGGGAAAATGTGGAAGATACCATGTCCCAGATTTCTCTTCATTAGGGTCAATTTTGTGTATGTATCCTTTTTCCACGTACTGTTCAATAGTCTTTGAGTACGAATCTCTCACTTCCTTGTTCCTCATCAATCGCTTTTCAGTGTTCTCTAATCTTTGAAGTGCCATGTCATAATTATTTGGCAGATTCTGTGCATCTTTCTTCCAAGGTATAGCGACTTCATAACGACCCTCTACAAACTTTAGCGACTCCTTCACCTTTGAGTACACGATTTGCTCCTCTGGACTGAACAACTGTTTCTTTGGTTCACTGAATCCTTCCATCTCCCAGAATTTACACAAAATTTTGTCCGTTTCATTTTCACTCCTCTGACTGTGGAGAAAGTAAGTTCTGTTATAATGAGTCTGAACACATATCTCACTACCACCATAAATTTTCCCCACACAAGTCCATCCTAATGGAGTAAGCCTAGCTACTGGTTCATTAGGTCGACCTCTGATTTCTCGATAAGCATAATGAAGTTCGCTGTTGTCCATTCCAATAAGCATGTCCACAAGTGGATGTTTACCTCTGACTGGGAATTCAAGTCCTTTCAAATGATTCCACTTGTGTTGATACTCTTTCCAATTCACTACACACATATCACCAGTAACTTTGTCTGCTGTTAAGGCTTCCACTTTGGTTTTAATCTTGCCATCAATGCTTTCTATTTGGAATTTTACAGGCATGGTTTCAAATGACTCAGTTTTGTTATTTAGAACTCCGACTGTCACTCTTTGCAATGTAGGCCTAATTCTGCTGCAACGTCTGAGTTGATGTATGTTCGCGTACTGGCATCATCCAGCAATGCATTAATTCTCACTGTCTTTGACCCATTTCTTACAATAACTGGAATGGTTCTCAATGCAATGAACTGTGGCTCCCCTCCATGACATGTTAAAGTTCTGTCTTGATTCACCAATCTCTGGGTATCAACATTATTGTTTACAACAGAATTAACTGAGGGGTTCTGTCTCTGAGTGTCTTTAGGTGGGCAAAATTCTGGAGCATTTCGGTTCAACACTGATGCAGCTTGGACATGCTGATACCTGTTTGCACTCTGGTTTATATTTTGATTTCCAATGTGTAGTAGTCTATGATGCGTTTCAGAACAATTGTCAATACTGCGGGGTCGACTCCTCCTACATGAACTTCCAAAATGACCTGACCCCAAACAACGATAACACAACTTTGACTGACGAACAAAATTCCACTTTTGAGACACATCAAGTTTCTTAAACTGCTCACATGACCAGATACCATGTTGTCCTTGACAGATCTTACACACTTTTGATAAGTTCTTAGTGTTTCCAAAGAATGCTCTTTGATGTATACGATTACCGACACACTTTTTTCCATCCAAATTATTGTTTGAATCCACTTGTAAATCATACACAGTTTCATTTGCAACAGTTCGGAATTCAGATTCCTGGATAATCCACTCTCTTAGAGTCTCCACTGACTCAGTCTTTTGCTTTTCGTACACCCATCTGTGATATGTAGATAACATTGTCTCTGGAATTTTCTTTTGTATTTTGACATACAAAGAACCATTTTTAAGTTCGTCTGTCCTTCCTGCCTCCTTGAGGTTGACACATCCAGTATGTCTGCAAATTTCACGAGATCCTTCGAATTCCCAGCCCGAATTGGTCGAAACAAGTCTAACTGTTCGAGGTGACGCATAACTTGTCGTCTCTGGCCTCCAAACTTTCGGTCAAGGCGATCCTTTGCTGCTTCATAAGCAAATGCAGAGTGTCCAAGGTTTTCTACAGCCTTCAGAGCCTCACCAGATAGATATTGTCTCAGCTGTTATAATTTATACTCTGGAGTTGCTGGAGCTTTGTCTATGCATGCAGCAAAGGCTGCTTTCCAACTTTCATATGTACGTTTGTCACCCGAAAATACAGGCACTGACACTCTTTTCAACTGTTTGCACATGTCAATACCAATTGTAGGCTGATTTATGGAATTGTTACTAGTTTGTTTCCCAGTTGAAAATGGCGTATATACATTTTTATCATTATCCATATCTACATTGATGATACTATCTGTTTCCTGATTGGCAGTGTCATGGTAACCAACACTCTCTTCCTCTTGCATCCTCTGCACTTCATTTTCCGCTTGCTCGAGTTCTTTGTATCCTTCTTGAATGGTTTCGTTTAATTGTTCTAATTGTTCTCGCTTTGCTTTACATTCTTCCTCTAAAACTCTTTCAGCTTCTTCAACCTTCTGCACCTCCTTCCGAATTGTGTCCGCTCTTTTCCAAGCTTGGATTTCCTCTTCATTTAAGAGGTTTGAGCTGCCTCGTAGAGACACCGTGTTAATGCTTGATGCCTCACTTCGCCGTGCATCTAAATAGTCATGTACTCTTTCTTGACAATTTTCGAATGATTCTTCTATAAACTCAATTTCTTGATTTGTTTTTATTAAGTTTTTTGTGTCACTTGCCTTTTTGTATTCTGCAGAGAGCGACAGTAAATAATTCATGACAGGTTCCTGTAAATCAATCAACTTTTGCCTCGCTGTACGAAGTTCTCTGCGACTAGGTAAACCTCGATCCAATAAATTTAATAAATGGTGTTTAGCTCGAGTGAACTGTGACTTAGCTTTTGTCTTCTCACGTTTTATATCGTCCAGGTCTGGCTTTCCCTCCGATGCTTCAGCGACGTCTCGAGTCAACTCTACTTTCGTTTTCTCCCGTTTCATTTCTTCGAAGTTTGTTTTTTCGTCATTCTCCTTGAATTGTGCTCCTGAGGTTTCCGAAACGTTTTCTTCTTCTTGTTTGTTTGCCATAACCACGCTCTGCTACCATTTGTTGGCGATAAATAACGAATATTCTGTTTTGCACTTTAATGTCCGAACATCAACAACATGTGCACATAACGAATACACATGGGTTTTTTTTACACCCCGAACCCGAGCCCAAAAACAATGATAATATCAATTAATCTCCAGAACAAGTTGTGTGTTTGGGGAGGGGGGTACAGTTGGTTTGTCTTATAGTACATTGTATGTTCGTTATTATATGGAAAAATTCTAATTGTTTTAAATATCCATTCCATTAATTTACTTTTTTTTTATTAATATGCACGATCATACCATTTGTATAATGAATTGGTGATTCAAAAAAGTTGTGTGTGCTTTTGTAATTATAATGAACAGTGGTTCGGTTGCGAATTTGATCGCGAAAATACCGCGAATATAACTTATTTTTTAAATGCTGATACTGATGCTAGCTGGATGCTTATGCTTCTTTAAATAAGCATAAGCATCCAGCTAGCATCAGTATCAGCATTTAAAAAATAACATTCCCAGGATCAGCATCATCAAGCAAAGGATAGAACTAGGATAGCTAGAACTGACCTACTTAAAAATCAGTATTGACTTTACTAGCATCTGAAAATCAGTTTTGTTTTAAGTAGAAAATCAAAAACAGAGAGAGAAAACTGGTTTAATAATTCAAAATGTTTATATATAATGAAATTAAATGATAGAATGAGAAAAAAAGTGTTAAAATTTTATTGCTTTATACTGCAATGCTGAAATTCAATTAACTACTTCCGGTATCATATAATGCTACTACCGGTAGCATTGACCTAATTTTTAAAACAGCAAAATAGTAGCAGGATAGGGATAATTAGCATTGAATCAGCAAGCAAAGAAAACATTCAAATTAGAAAGCAAAGGATAAAAAAAAATCTACATAGTTGCTGTAATAAAATTAGTTCACTGCACTGTATACGTCAAACTGAATGCCATAGCAACTTTTTTCCTTCCTGTGTGGAAGTTTTGTTTTTCATAACTTCTAATTCATAGTAATTACAAATACAGAATACAAAAACAGGTTGGCTTATAAATGGGTACAATTTTGACGAATGGAATTCCATTACTTTGCTGGAAGACCTGTGTTCAAATGAGTACAATTTTTGACCATCATATAGTAAAAACAAGAGACCCAAGGGCCTTAACGGTCACTTGAGTATAATACAGCAATTTAAAGGAGCCATAGAAGTATTAAATAAACTGATAGATGAAGCTTTGTTGTCCCAAAGCAAGAGAAATAGGATGATCAGGATCAGCAAAATAATCAGTCTAGTACTCAGTAGCAACTCATAAAGTAAGTTCTTCTAGCCCCCATTTATCACTATCATCATGCTGACTATAACAACAGTGCTTTTATATAATTAGTACTTTCTGTAATCCCTTATAATTACCTCTCACATTGGCCTCTCTTAGTCTTTGAAGAACTTGAAGAACATTTAATAAATATAAGATCTCCCATGATTTGTAGTTGGATATGATTTTTATCCAACGAGTTGTGTTTTTTTTTTATCCCCGAGCCTTGGCGAGGGGATAAAAAAAACACAACGAGTTGGATAAAAGTCATACTAGTATCCAACTACAAATCATGGGAGATTCTTTTTATCCCATGTTTAATACTTCACAACCAATGTTTTACACTGTTTTATATAGGACTCCACTTTATTTTACTTCATCACGCTAACGCAAAAATCATTGTGACGTCACAATTGCACTTAACTGTGGGATATAAAAAATATCCAATGCGTCATATCCACGGGATAAAGGAGTAAACATGGGATGAGATAAGTTATTTTTGTCTCATTTTATTTGTCTATTATTTACAAATGTACCTCATCATTAAACTATAAAAGTACTTCTTGTATTATACAATAAAAATTATTGCATATTTCTCTTATGCTATTAACCTTTCTGATACATTATTAACAGTGGTTATTTATCAAAGGTGAATGGCAAAGGGAATAACTTCTCTCAGTAGAATACAAATTAATGGCGCCCTGACCAGCATCAGAACATTTGACCAAATGGTCGAGAATTTAAAAAAAAGGTAAAAATATCCTTGCTTATTAAATTTTTTACTCTGCTTGCCTCCAAGATGCCCAGGAGCAGAGGAAATTTTCTAAGAAATAATGCCTTTTCACTATAGATTCAACACAGCCCCACCCTAACACCAGAACCCATCACCCAGGGTCATGAAATGCAAAAATTTGGAAGATTTACCCTCGTTCATCATAATTATGCTGTTAATTGAAGATTTTCAAAGTATTAAAGAATTAACACATTTTCACTTTATTATCAGTAGATATCCCCTCCCCCTCCTCGAAACACCAGAACCTCTGACTCTGGAACCACAAGTTTTAAAAATTTTGGAATAAGTACCCTTGCTCACCATAACTATGTACTTTGTTTATCTGCTTAATACACAGGAGCAGACAAGATTATGTAATGGAATTAATGCCTAATGACTAAAACAAGGAAAGAAGAATAAACTATTCAATACCGGTAAATTATGAAACTAGGTGAGAAACCAAACATGTTTTCTTCGAATGAGTTTTTATACAAAGAAGGGAGGTTTAGTCCTATAGTACATGGCATAGTAATAACAACCAGGTGCAATCTCTGGGAAAAGGGGTAAACGGATAATCTGAAAACTCCTCCAATCCCAAATGGGTGGTATGTTCACTTCCAATCCCAAATGGGTGGTATGTTTACTTCCAATCCCAAATGGGATGGTATGTTCACTTCCAGTCCCAAATGGGTGGAATGTTCATAGTTTGGGATTTTCAGTACTGGCCCTCAACAACAGGTCACCGATTTGACAGTTATACTTATATTGCTAGGTTGGTGTGTACTGGATATTCCCTCGGACCCTTGGGTTAATGCAATGCAGCCACTTTCTTCCATTATCCCTTTTTGAAATTGTTTAATTGATATATTGTGTGATGTGTTTGGCTACCTGATTCCATAAACAAGTAAAACAAATTTGGTGTTGTGACTGTTGTTATGGTAACAGGTTTAAACTGATGAGGTACATGTAGGCCTACAGTAGTTTATGGTGTCAAATGTGTTGACTTTGAATGTTCAATTAATTAGTAATTTGTTTAATATTTTTTGTATCAAATTAGTAATTTGATATAACAAATTAGTAATTTGTTATTGAAAGTTAAAATTTATAATAACACATTTATCATTTTATTATAACAAATCATCAATATGTTATAACAAATTAGTACTTTGATAAAATCAATTATTAATGAGTTCTTTGGTATTACAAATTGGTTCTTTAATATAAGAAAAATTAGCAATTTGCTAAAACAAATAAGTTCTTTGTTTAAACAGATTAGTATTTTTTTAAATAAAAAATTAATAATGTTTCATAACAAACTATTAATTTGTTATAGCAAAATACCTTAAATAAGAAATTATCAATTTGTTTTAATAAATATTATTACTGATATTTTTTTGAAAAATGTTAGAAATTTAAATGAATTTATTGATGTCAGCATTGGAAAAGAGAATTTTATATTTATTAGATAAGCAAACTGCTATCGATTAGGTTTAATTGTTATCGGAATTCAGATTTAAGCGAGTCAGTGTACATTGATTAAATGTCTCTGTTAGATAATTTAAAAGAATAATTGCATCCCTAGGATTATAAAGAAGACAAATTAATCTAATATACTGAATGCTGGATCCTTCACATTGAGAGAAAATCGAAGATCAGGGCCCGTTTCAGAAAACCATCTCACGACCGAGATAATTCGTCAAATTAAATTAAAAAGAAAGTATAGGTCCTAAATGTCGAATTCGATTTCACTAATTTAGTTCGTCTAAGAATTTTTTTTTATAAAACGAATTAAATTCGTTTAAACAAATTTTGAAATTTGTTTGAAAGAATGAAATCTGCTATAACAAATTTTCGAATTCGTTATAACAAAATTTACAAATTTGTTATTACAGATTAACGGCATAACGAATTCAAAAACTTGTTATAACGAATCAAATTCGTTTTAACAAATTCAACAATTCGTTATATCGAATTAAAAAAATATTTTGAATTGGCTTTTGTAAAGGAGAACATTTATTTTCAATACTATTAATTTAGCCTGATATGATATCTAAAACCTTAACTTCATTTAAAAAAAATGTAACAAAAAAACACTCACACCCCAACTTGTGTTCTAGAAGACAAAGCATGCTCTTGATGCGTTAATCGTAAAATCTAAGAATACTTAAGTACTTACCAAAAATATGAAATATCCATAATGAAAATGTCCAAAGTTTCATATTAGGTGTTATGTGAGCGCATTGAATTTTTTCCAAGCGAGTTAGGTCATTAGAGGTTTTGCTAATACGATTGAGGACCGTTTTCGAAGTGGAAGTTAATAATACTGAATAAACGCCTACAAGTTCACCGTTCCGGAATGCAATTTAATGGGTTTATTAATCTATAAATATGTTTTAAAAATCATCTAATATTAATATTTATTCGTTGTTCAAAGAAATTCACCCAACCGAGGATAACTATTTGCGGATAACTGCCTCTCAGTCTTTAGCTAAGCTCATAAATGACTTATATATCGCCATGAATAATGTGAAATAAAAAGAATTTTTTCTCGGGTTATGATAACCAAGGGGAGAAATATGGCAGTGGTGAATATTGCTAAATAAGAATGATATAATTGTTGTTGGAACGTTTCTGAATTGGTAGTTACTAGTTGGATTAACACATAGAGGTTCAGATTTGTTCCGGAATGGCTTGCATAAAAAAGAAGCGTTTCCTTCAAATGGGTAATGTTAAAGGAAGCGAAAAATATATGGCATAGCTGACTTTTGAGGGTAAAAACATATTATAAAAGTAATAATTTCTCCAAATTGCAATGTATTACAGATACATGATAAAATACATGGACCATACATATCATGATATAATAATATTGATGATAGACCCGAGAGAACCGACAACCCCCAAT